AAAACATTTTATTATTAATAAAAAAATGTGATTATATGATGATCAGACATTATTATGTTATATAAATAAATGTGAATGAAATATCTAATAAAACACACTAAAAACACAAATAAAACACACACCAACACTCGCCAAACCTAACCAACAATAAACAATAAACATGAACAAGAATGACATGAAATGATTCATAATTGGAATTGTCAAAATTTATTCTACAAAATCTTTGTGGCGACATCTATAGACTCTTTCCCCAACTTGTATATCCATCTCAAGTCACGTGGCTCCCAGAGTTTCCCCATTTTTTCAAGTATAAGTTCTCGGGCCCTGGCTACATTGCTACATTCCATCCATATTCCATAGTATATTGTCAAATCGATGGTCAAAACTATTGTAAATGGTAATTTTAATCATGAATATTTTTAAATATAAATTTAATTTTATAAACTTTAATGAATACTTGAATTATAATTTAGTATTTCTTACAACTAAACGATACAAGAGCTTTAATAATGTACCGGGTCCTGTATCTCTGCCTGTACTAGGAACACTTTACCAATATTTTCCTATAATAGGTATGTGAATAGTGAAATTTTAATTTTAGTATTAGAAAAGAAAATATATTTATTAATCTATTTTATTTATTATGAATTAATCTATTATAAATGTCGACAAAAATTATTTTTAGGTTTTTATAGATTTGATGAATTGTACTATAATGGTCTTAAGAAATATAGAAAATTTGGACCTATTATTAGAGAAGAAATGGTACCAGGAGTTAATATTGTGTGGTTGTTTGATCCCAAGGATATAGAAATTATGTTTCGTTGTGAAGGAAAGTATCCTCTTAGGAGAAGTCATTTAGCTCTACAAAAGTATCGCTTAGACAGACCAAGTGTATATAATTCTGGAGGCTTATTACCAACGTAAGAAAATGTATCTCATGTATTTTGTATTTAGATGAATATAGGGTTGGTTGCCAGACGTCCGGATGAATCCGGACATGTTCGGGTTTTTACTATGTCCGGGTGAGTCCGGGCGGATTTTTCATAAACGTCTGGATTTTAAAGTAGTTGCCTTTATAAACATCAAATAATGTAAAATACAAAATAGTAAACTATTTTTAAAAAATGTAGTTTTGAGTTTTGTAAGTTTGAATAAAAAATGTATTTTGTTGCTCGTTTTATTAGTAAAATGAAAATGGGATAATGTTAACTATCATCAATCAGTGAAAATTGTTACTTTGCTAAAAAAATTATGACGACCGGATTTTGTCCGGATTTTCTTTCTTAAAGGCTTGTCCTGGGTGGACAAGCTTTCATCTGGTAACCCTAGATGAATATAAAGTGGCTGTAGTTGTTAATTCTATTATTTATATTTTAGAAATGGCCCAGAATGGTTTAGAATTAGGACTGCTTTTCAAAAAGGGTTGAGTAGTCCTTCGTCTGTAAAACATTTTTTGGAAGGATCTGATCAAATAATACAGGAATGGTTGAATGTAGTAGAAGAGTTCAGTAAAAAACCCAACGTGGATTATCTTCCTGAACTATCGAGGTTATTTTTAGAATGTATGTTATTAAAGGACTTTTCGCAAACTGTGATTATGTTTATCTGATCAACAGCATCCTTAACTTTGTCAGAAAAACAAACCAGTTTGTGATATAGTGTTGCGAAAAAAGATTGCCAGTGAAATTTTGACATTGATACTTCTGGGAATCAGGTACTTCATTTCCTTAAAATTTGAAAAACACCCTGTTAGTGGTCCATCTGATCTCAGATCGTAATTTCCAAAAACTCCTTATGTACCTATTCGTTTGTCCAAAGTTTTATATTTTTTTAAAGTTTTTTTATTGAAATCTATAGGAATTTTTTCGAGGAGGCAGAAAGTCCAAGTTTTCAAGGCTAATGATTTTTTGATTTTTAATAGCTTTGTTCCTAGTAGAATCCAAAACTGTTTCCAACAGTCAGACGCATGCGCATATGGATGTAATGCTTACATAAGGTTCAAAATTCATTGTTTCGAATCAAATGCGATTGCGTCGGACTGTTGGAAACTGTTTCTAATGCACTAGGAACAAAGCTAATAATTACATTGCATTTAATGGAGTGGTACTATGGTGGGATTTCTGGCTAAATGGGAATTTAAATAAACACAAATTTTCTGGATGTCAACATTTCGTCCCTTTATTTAGACTTTTTCAGGACTTCTAAATAAAAGAAAAAAGTTACAAATATTATGAACATAATACAAAAAAGATTAAGCACAGATATTCAAAATACCTATATATTATTAAATATTAGTAAACAATTAACAAAAAGGGAAACGCTACAAAGGTAAAATTGTGAATATATATATATAATTAAATTAATTACGCAATTAATAAAAGTTGTTTAAAATAAAGTAAAAATATGTTTGTTTCTTACATCAGAAATATGTTTTCGGTAAGCATAACAAATATATACCAGACGTAACATACATGATTATAAACAATAATTATTGCAGGTCTTCTTGATTTGCAATATGAAGTTCTTTGGGTGTGGTAAGTTGTCTTGCCCACAAATAATATATTTTATTTATTTTCATATTTGTTTTATCTGTTTTAGACTTATGCTATGTTAAAATTATATATATATATTATAGATCTGCTTAATGTTGATTTTGAAATCAATATTTCAATAGAATTTTAGAAACATAAATGAAATATCATCTTGAATAGGAATAGTTTGTTTTACAGAGGAAAAATTTTTAACAAGTTAGTCAAAATACAATTATTAGAATAGTTTTTAGGTTACACTTTCTCTAAAAAAAATACAATTTGTGCGGCAATTGTCACTTTTGTGAATCACTTTGAGTATATTTTATTGTGCTATTAGTGTATAAAAATAATGATCACACTAGTGGAATAAAAATATTATTTTATTATCTTGTATTGTTGTATAGCAACAAGCAAGTTGCTATACAAGCTATAGCAAGTTGCTATAGTATAGCAACAAATTTGGTATTTGAGTATTTAAAATATGGGTTTTTTCGGTTGCTACGCCGTGGCCTATGTACCTGGCAGTTACAGAATTACCTTGCACTTCCTTAGCATTAGTTATGAATCTTAAGACATGTCGTTGTTGTTCTCGTATTAGGACTAGGCTTTGTGGGGGCGGATCCGTTATCAGAATTCCTAGGTCCACCCTGATGTTCATTTTAGTTCTTGATGGTTCCAAAGCCGCTGTGGACAGAACTTCTCCTCAGACGATGGTGATGCTCTGAGACATTTCATAGTGGCCTCTGATTGCATCCAATGCTTCTAAACGTTTCGCCATTCTATGCTACCAACATGGTCAGTGGTGACTGCAAATGCTTTGCGGCGACTGAGCCAACGTGCGACCTCCTGACCAGGTACATAGGCCATTGCATAATAATGTAACCTGAGGGGTTATTTCTTTAGTTATCTACCTTTAATTAATTATCTGTTTAATTCTCGAAAGAGTTACTACTTAATTTTCGAAAAGGAGTTTATAATTATTATTACTTTAATCAATACGTGGGGAAATGTTCAGAGAATTACTTCCAAGCACTTACCATTCATCGCTTACGTGGAATGTAATCCAGTGGCTGGCTATACAGGGTGACACTGAAGTCGGGGAAACAAAAGGAAACACTAAAACTTCCAGGAAGAGTTTTATTAACAATATACAAAACAAAGAAAATACCAACACAACGGCTCGAACGACATTATTAATGAATTGATTTAAACGCGACAGCGTACTGAGATTCAGGGAATGCACGCTTCATACAAAATTTGGAAAAACTTTATCTATGATTAAATTTAATTAACTTGCCCGAGACTCTAATCTAAAACTAGGTCGACTGCTCAATGTGAAGTCTACGGAAGAACTCCCTTTTTCTCCTAGATCTCCTAAATTCCACAATTCGCTTTGACCCGCCCATTTCTTGGGTCCAGAAGTTTCTGTTCTTGTCTTATTGGCGAGACCCTGAATATCGGGATGCTGGTATAACTAACTATATTAGGTTAATAATTACCTAATTGACTTGACTTACATTTATATCAATAATTATGTGACTTACTAGTAACCCTAGCCTTCCTCGAATGACTCCGCGTAGCAATTACGGGACGGATTAGTCGATCTCATTTAATCTACTCTTATAGCTTGGAAAATCCGTAAAAAAACAGCTTATTAATACACTTTTCTTCTTCGAATTACTATCAATTTACAATTTTTTAATTTAGTTCTACCTGGAATCTCTACGCTCTTCTCGTGGTTTCGCGCGTTATTAAAAATATCGATTTTTCTCTTATACTAGATGCTTAACACATGGCCCTGACAGTTTAAGTGAACTCGTTAAAAATATTGGCAAATTTCTTCGAAGGACAAAGCTACCTACTTGAAAGCCCTCAACTTTCGATAATATAATTTGTGTTGACAAGAATATTTTACTTTTTGGCTCATCCGTTCTGAGAACTAATAAATAAATGACTGCGCATCCCGGCTTTTGTTACAATAACCCGAAAAATCATTGTATTTTAAATACTAGCATAGGCCGTAAAATCCTTAAATTCAGCTATCTTAGCATTTTGATGTTAATTTAATTTAGTTTCTGAAATTATGTTAAAACGTTGTAACCAAAATCCTTACCAAGGTCGTTATTTCTTCTATTTGTGTGTTAAGTTGTTAAGTTCGTTATTAATAATAATCTGTTTTAAATTTTAACTTTGAATCCTTGCTCATCCAAATGAAAAATGACATAATCTCAATCTGAGGTAGCATATTTTTTTTTGCACACACAATTTTAGGTAGCATCTTTTCCAAATACAATTTTAGCTACCACATTTTGCAAGTTAAATTTGAGGTAGCATGTTTTCGTAGTAACGCATCAATAAGTTCTATTATTTTTCCCCAAGATCTGTAATTAACCTGTTTTTTGCAACATGTATAAGTTTAGTAGATAGGGTGATTCACATGAAATATCTCAATAATAGACACAGATATTTGAGGGTGCAACGTGCCTGTTTTGTATATGTATACTTAGGATGGCGAACCAAAATCGTATTTTAAATATATTATTATTATGTAAGTGCATAAAGTTAAAAGAAATAATACAATCAAAATAATATAAAATTTATAAATCTGCATGTTTCAGTGCATTGATTATATAAGCTACGGTTTGTATACTATACTCAAGATTCCAGAGTATTATTGCTATTTCCATTTGCCCAGTTGCCTGGGCCAGTTATTATTTAGTTAGTATTTGACTAGAGCCGATTTACTAGTCTTTAATTTGTAATGTAATGGTTTATGGTCCCCATTTAACTCTTTTTTTGTATGGCATAAAATTTGAAATTCCTGAAACATGTCACCAAATTAGGATATACTGTATGTACTTATACAGTGCGTTAATGATGAAAGGAACAAATTCGTTTAAAATTCAGGTAATTATTTTGTGGAAAAACGCTCGGATACGTCGATTAGTATTTTTAGTTGCGGATTTTTTGACATGAGAAATTGTATACAGGGTGTCTCAAGAAGAACATATGTAGTCACCATTAATGTAAAATTGTATACAGGGTGTCTCAAGAAGAACATATGCAGTCACCATTAATGTTTTTTTCGATAGAACATCCTACATATTATGCCATTTTTGAACTGCATGGTAAATTCTGAACACTTTTTGTATAACTTACCATATCTCTAAAACCAGCAGTTTTTGTAATAATTACGTTTGAAATGTGATAAATGGAAAAAAAATCATGTTTAATCATAAAGCATTATTTAAATAACAATTGCTTTATAATAAATGTTCAATGTTTTGTCTGTTTTGTTCAATACATTTTTGTAGCCGAAGTATTGTTTCCCGTAGAACGTTTTCAATTACCTCCGCAGGAATAAGTTATTTTCTGGCGTATTCTCTGTTTCAGGTCATCAAGATTATTTTGTCTATTCACCTAAACTTTAGATTTCAAATAACCCCGTAAGGAGAAAGGGGTTAAATCTGGTGACCTTGGTGGCCACTCAATAGGACCTCTGCGTCCAATCCAGTTTTTCAGGAAAGTAAAGTCAAAAAATTGCCGAACAGCAATTGTAAAATGAGGAGGTTCACCATCGTGTTGCAACCATATGTCATTATCAGGAATATCTGGATCTTGTGGATTAGGAAACACAATAGCTAAAGCGGGGATGAGTTCAAACTGAAAAATGTTTAAGTAGCGTTCTCCATTTAAATTTTCTTAAAAAAAATAAGGTCTAAGAATTCGGTTGTCGACAATACCTGCCCAAACATTTATTTTTTGACGATGCTGTGTGTGACAGACTTGTGTTCAACGAGGATTTTCAATTGCCCAATACCTGCAGTTTTGTCTGTTTACGTGTCCATTTAAAACAAAAGTAGCCTTGTCACAAAAAATAATCTTTCGGGTGAAATCTAAGTTTTGGTTATTCATCTCAATTTTCCGCTCACAAAACTGCGTCCTTCGGTCGGTTCTTCTAATACTTCATGTATCAATTGAACCTTATAAGGGTGATATTTATTTTTTCGGAGTATTTGTGACACAGATCCCGATGATAAATTATAATTTCTGGAGATTGTCCTAACGGCTACATGGGGATTATTTATTTACAGTTTCTAGTAAAATCTTTAATTAGAGGTTCTAAATTTAGAATCTTCTGATATTTCTGGTGGTCTTCCTTTAGGCAAATCTCTAACGTGTCCATGCTCAGCAAATTCAATTCAATTTTGCTGAGAGTAGATCTAGTAATTGGAGGTCGGTCAGGATGAATTAGATACATTAAATAAATTACATACTTCTTGTTGAGTACGCATTCTGTCTCCAAAACCAATCATCATAGGTACTTCAGTACGTTCTTTCTCAGATAAAAGTGTTCAGAATTTACCGTACATTTCAAAAATGGCATAATATACAGGGTATTTCATTAAAAAAAATCAATGATGACTGCATATGTTTTTCTTGAGACACCCTGTATATAATTTTCTTATGTCAAAAAATCTGCAATTAAAAATACTAACGTGTCCAATCGTTTTCGACAAAATAATTACCTACCTGAATTTTAAACGAATTTGTTCCTTTCATCACAAACGCACTGTATAAGCTGTATTGATTTTAGTAACTGGTGAAGCTGCATTAGATGTTCGATTAAATAGTTTCTCAAAAGATGAGCGTACCAAAAATTCAAGAACTTCTAAGCTTATAAATGCTGCTCTGGAAACCAATTCCTGTATATTGAAAACTGATAATGGACCTCAGTTATGGAGAAAAATTGAAACACCTTTATATAAAAGACTTCGCAAATCTCAGGAGTACATGGAAGAGTAAGTTTCATTTACAAAAAGAATTCTGGGGGTGAGTAGTGAAATCGCAGAAAAACTATTATTTAAACCAAATTTGGTTCCAGAGTTTGTTGGTTATTTACAATAATTAGTACTGATAGATTTTTTTTCGTACCAACCAGACTGCCTATGTTATACAAAATGTTGCAGCAAACTTTAGGGACTGGTTTCATTAGTCAAAACAATTAAAAAATTAAATTTTAACCTTATTTTTTTTTTAGACAACAATGTATTGCTTCTATAACATGTATTATTAGCTCTTGCATTTTTTACCCTATTATAGTAATGGTAATAGTAATAGTAGTAGTGGTATTTATTGCCCAACAGATCGACTTTCAACTACAAGACAGATTACATATTAAAATAATAATAATAAGGTCGTGCGACGAATACTGAATGGCAATACCAATATTTGTCTTTCAAGCCATATTTGATGATATTTTCAACGTAATAATTTTGAGAATGTATGAACACCGCAACAACTATTGTTCATAAATGCTCTGAGTAGCAGATTGAATCGTGTCAGAAGGTATTGAGTTTATCTCTCTTGAAATATTTATTCTCAATTCTTCCTCATACTCGTATCGCTTTGTATATCTGCTCCTTAACATATTCATAAAAGAAAAAGTCTATGATGGTCAAATCAGGACTTAATTGGACCACCAAGTAACGGTACTCCGAACATTTGTGATAAAATTTAAATTTACCATTTAATATTTTGTTTTGCTTTATCTATTGTCGTTTTGTTCGTTGCTCTTATTATTGTTATGTTGCTGTGTTAAAAAGTATTAAAAATAAGAAATATTAATTTATAGAAAAATTTAAAATGTTTCACATAGCTACTTGACTTTTTTATTAAAATTATAATTATATTCAATATCTTCGTTGTTTATTTATGAAATTCCCATAAATTGTACATCGGTATAAAGTGATATTTTTTATTCTTCTAATGAGAAAGAGTTCAATAATGGCGTTCATAACAAAAACAGAAGTTAACTACTGCTGATTCCTCTATCATTTTATATCAGACTACATATTTTTGTCCTAAAATTTTCAAAAACAAGTGAAATACGACTAAAAAATAGAAATAGCGTAGAATCGGTTTCCTTCGGTACCATTCGGAATTATCTCAATTTAAAAACGAATCCGTGATCAGCTTAAAATACTGCACATTTTTGCTCATTTAGCCTTATTTTTTCCAGACAACAATGCATTGCTTCTAAATGACATGTATTATTAGCTCTCACATTTTTTACTCTAGTATAGTAATGATAATAGTAATAGTAGTAGTGGTATTTATTGCCCAACAGATCTACATCCAATTACAGGACAAATTACAGATTAAAATTGTAATAATAACAGGCCAATATCTTTGAATGGAGCGGACTCGAGCGGGATTATCGCTCTTTACCCACTTCATCACTGTAGGCCCGAACGCCTTGTAGAGAGAGTTTCCCCGTCTCCGTCATCCCGGACCGCCAACGTGGTCATGTTCGATCAGTTCGTGGGATTTCCTCCTGTCCTGGCTGGGCCTCGCTGGCTAGGGTCCTTTCTTCTGGTGCTCTTCTTTCTTTGTCTGTGTAAACCCCCGGGAGTGTCGTGTGTTGGTCGCAGGTAGTGAGCTTGGGTGAGGTCGTGCGGCTATGGAGCTTAGGAAGCGGTTTTCTAAGCTTGCTTAAAACTAATGTTTAACATACTTAGTCGCATTTTTATAGACCACAGCTAAAATTAGTCGTCTAGTGTCAGCCCTTATGTTAGAGTGACATTTCCTATTACTGTTCGTAATAAACTAAAATAATAAATAATACTATCAGAACGGGTATTGAGTGAATTATTTTATTGTTACCTGTACAGTTGGTTTATATGGTTTATTCGATTCCAGAAAGGGTGGAAATAATTGCACTTTTATGGAAATAATCAGTGTGTACAGGGTGTAACAAAAATAAGGTTACCAACTTTTTGTCAGCAGATGGAACACTTAAAATTAGTAGGGATACTTATATAAAATTTTTGCATAAAGTGCTTCCTTTGTGAGATTCAGGGTGTTGAAATTGAAAAAATAAATGACATTTTCTTTAATATCTTTCGACTACTTCAAGCTAATATTGTGAAATTTCATATCCGGGTTTTTTTTGGGATGAGAAATTCGAATTTAGCAGCGATTTCGTTGTATTTTCTAGAGGGCGCCACAAACGACCATTAGGACTAATTTAAACTGTCAAAACTTTTTTGGGCCGCGGTGTATTTCACTTTGGGCTGAAAAAATCTTTTCCCTCAACTTTTCGGCTTAAAAAAGGTATACCATACCTTGCTAACATCTCTAAAGCCAACGTCAAGAAATTTTCCTTTAAAGGTAACAGAACAATTACAACTTTAAAATTCGTTTATTTAACAACTTTACTGCAAACAGAATTGACCGAGTAATGAACATACTTTCTAAAAACAATCTATCAATCGAACACAATCTAAACAATGTAACCAATCTAAACGACCTAAAAATCTAAAAAATAACTATTATTGACTTGTCTTAAAATATATGTTTTTCAATGTTTATCAGTCTCATACCAGGCGAGAAGAACATTCGGCATTGCAATAGAATAGCGGTGGCTAACCTCTCTTGCACCTCTGAAGCGTTCGGAATATGATGGAATTCTGCTTACATTTAAACTGTTCATGGTTTAATTTTGTTATTTTATTTATTAAGGATTAATTTAATATGTCATACCAATTTACTGCTGAAGTGACTGAATAAGAAAAAATAGTGGAAACATACCGTATTTCTGTTCGTCCCTGTTTTAATTATCTTAAATCAGTCAGATTAATATTTTTATTTAATTTTTATTATGTTCGTTTTTTAAAATATCAAAAATAATTATTTTAAATCATAAATTAGTTTCATTTACAATTAATTACTAACATATCTACATATTTTCTTCGTCTCTCCACTATAATTCGTTGATTTGTGGTGGCCGTCTTTTCCTGGAGTCAATTTTTCATTTTTTGGGTCTCTACTGAGCTGGTGGCTACGTGCTCTTCGAGATCCTTTTCCGAACGCGAACGCGATGCGCTTTTTGAGCCACCTCAGCTCACATGGGGACCGACCGGACGTAACCCGACCTACGTCGTGCCGGCGGAGCACGAAGCAAAATTATTTTCTTAATGGATCGTCTTTTTCTCACTTGGGCTCGCCCGCTTCCTACAGAGAGACATACACCCGTTGCACACATGCCGGAACCGGCTAACCGGATTTGGTTACCCGGCAGCAAGGTGTACAGAGTCTTATGGCAGCTTTCACACGTGACGGAAGGATCTATCCGGCGAACGGCCGCCGGGTTGTAGCCTGTCGCCACCACTACCAGCCCGGCTGCCGTGTACCGGCTATCCGGCGACCAAAGTGGTAGCCTCGTTGCACACTTGCTGAACCGGCTAGCCGGATCCGGCTATCTGGATCCGGCTGGCTCTTTCACACGTAATTTAATTTTCAAATCTGTTTGGCCGATATTAGTCTCAGTTGCATTTTTATCACGACAAGAGACGGATCATAGACGCATTGCAATTATGTGGCTTGGCTATTGCCGATGTCGCAATAAAAAAAAACAAAAAATATGAAAAATATCCAAAAAATATGAAAAGGCTAAAGTTTTGTCTTACTGGACAGGTCTGGAATCAAGTAGTGATATAAAGAATGCTATATCTACTTCTAGCGAACAAACATTCGATATAGTTACGTACAAATATTTAAAAAAATAATTAACACGTCCTGTTATTTTCAATGAAATCGGACGACTGAATCCGGCAAGCACTCGGCAAGTGTGAAATCGTCAATACAAAACTATGCACTACTACCACTTCGGACGTCGGATAGCCGGTACACGGCAGCCGGGCTGGCAGTGGTGGCGACCGGTTACAACCTGGCGGCCGTTCGCCGGACAGCTCCTTCCGTCACGTGTGAAAGCTGCTATAAGACTGTACACCTTGCTGCCGGGTAACCGGATCCGGTTACCCGGTTCCGGCATGTGTGCAACGGGTGGTAGTAGTGCATAGTTTTGTATTGACGCTTTCACACTTGCCGGGTGCTTGCCGGGTTCAGTCGTCCGGTTTCATTGAAAAGAACAGGACGTGTCAATTATTATTTTTTAATATTTGTACGCAACTATGTCGAATGTTTGTTCGAAGTAGATATAGCATTCTTTATATCACTGCTTGAATCCAGCCCTGTCCAGTGGGACAAAACTTTAGCCTTTTCATATTTTTGGATATTTTTCATATTTTTTGTTTTTTTTTTTATTGCGACGACATTGGCAATAGCCAAGCCACATAATTGCAATGCGTCTAAGATCCATCTCTTGTCGTGATAAAAATGCAACTGAGACTAATATCGGCCAAACCGGTTTGAAAATTAAATTAAGTGTGAAAGAGCCAGCCGGATCCGGATAGCTGGATCCGGATGAGGCTTATGGTCGCATCCCGTCGTTGGAACGGTCGGCACTGTCTTGGTTTTAGGGACTGAGGGTCAATGCCGGCCGGCACTTCGTGCTATGCCCTCGGTGAGTAGCTTCTGTTCTTGCTTCTGTGCCGAGAAAGGAACCATAAATCCATGCGCCCGGCAATGGTTACTCTACTGATCCCTTCGTTGTGGGAGGTGCTTGCTCGGAGTTTAGTTTAAAATCTGCAATGAAAATTGCGGAAAGTTGAATTCTTTTTATTTTAGAGGTTAACTTCTAAAAATAAGAGAAACTTACAATTAATTTCCCTATGTGTTGTTGTTAATGAATTCTTATCTGGAGACAACTGACTCCTGGTATACCTACCTCTATTACATGTGGGAATAAAAAAAGGCAAAGTAAAAATGCGACCTGGGAGGGCGGTTGGTGAAAGTTAAAGTCGACCGTCGTACGTCCGCACTCTGACTCGACTCTTTTTGATGGAGTGAGCGTCCCTAAGCGTACTATTTAAAGGTTCTGGCGCGCTACCCTTGACCAATGGGTTGCGGCCAAACAAAACTCGCGAAATTATCCACGACGACAATACTGGTCATGGTCATGTGAAAATTAAAACAATATTTTTAATGTTCGGCGCTTCGTCCACAATGATATGGTTACTTTAAAATGATACGTCGTTAAGTTATACAAAACCAACCTGTTTTACTAAATTGATTTTTATTGTCACTTCACACAATGTAAACTGATTTAAAAGCAACTTTGATAGTGTATTAATACGCAAATTATGGCCCCCCGCCCAGTGGCGGCGTACCTACACAAGAATTAAAGTCTAGTTTAAAAAACTAATTATAACTTTAATTAATTATTTTTATTTGATTGAAAAAAAAAATCTGATTCGTATTCATGGAAACATGTACTATTACCATTAAAAAACTGATTGCCCCATTTAAAGTGTATGCACCCTGTATATCATGTATACAATAAAAAATGAGATGATTGCAAAAAATTAATTATAAGTACAGGGTGTCCTAGAATAACGTGTACAACGGAAGACCACAGATTCGTTGACTCAAATTAGGTAGATTTAGGCTAATTCACCTATATCCGAAATCGCTTCGTTTGGCCACTAGATGGCCTCAAAGTTCGTTAAAATTTTTTGAATTTTGTAAATAACTCGAATACGTATTATTCGATTTTGATTATTTTTGGGGTGTGGAGCTTGGCTTTCAATCTACAATTTTGGTGTTATACAGAATGTTTTTTGAAACTTACAACTCCTACAAAATTGAAGTATGGTGAGAATATATGTTCATAACTTTTTCCTATTTCAGGCAATAATGACAACTATTTTTTATTTGATAGGTGATATCAAGTTTTTGGGCCTCTTGTAGGATTTTGATTAAATGAGCGGTTTGGGTACAAAAAATATTTTTTAAATGTATACATTATCCTGCCATCCATATTATAATACTTAACGAAGTACTAGTACGCACTGATTTTGTAGGTTGATTGTAATTTCAGTTTGAATTTGTTTTCGATAGTATTATTTTTGGCTCTGTTATTCTATCCAATAGACTAAATGGGGAATTTTATTTGGAATTTTTGCAAAACCCAAATTATTGGAAGATGTGCGTTATTACTCAAAGGTAACATGTCGTTTATGCATGATGGCGCCCCACCACTGTAAATGTTCGGCTGTATCTGAACCAAATATTCCCTCGTCGATGGATCCATAGAGGTGATAATTTCCTGTTAACTCGCCTGTACGTTCACCAGACTTAACACCTTGCGACTATTATCTATAGGGTACTCTGAAAACAACAGTGCATGATTACGCATCTAACACTGAACTGAGTTGTGGAGGCAAATTCAAAATGCCATAAATGCTTTAAAAAATAACCCTTAAGACCTGCAAAGGGTGTCCTTTAACTTTCTTCGCTGAATTAACCTTTGTTGTAGAAACAACGGTGGTCATTTTGAACAGTTTTTATAAGTTGTACTAAATTTAATAACCTCAACTTTGTTACTTTTTTCTCCAGCATTTTTTATTGTATTTTATTGTTTTTACGAATTATTTTAATAAAATTACGCATGTTGTAAATAACTCTAATTTGTCATATGTGTGTATCCATATAGAAAAATTAAGTAACGTGGTATATTTTATCGTAGTAAACACTCATTAAGAATTGGTAGGTACACTGAAATTACAGTCAACCTACAAAATCAGTGACTACTAGCACTTTGTTGAGTAATGTAATAAGGGTGGGAAGATAATGTAGACATTTAAAAAATATTTTTTTCTACAAAAACCGTTAATTTAATCTAAATTTTACAAGAGGCCCAAAAACTTCCAAATGGTATCACCTACTAAATAAAAAATAGTTGTCATTATTGCCCAAAACAGGAAAAAGTTATGTACGGAAGTACCACCATAATCAATTTTGTAGGAGTTGTAAGTTTTAAAAAACACTCTGTATAACACCAAAATGTGTAGATTGAAAGCAAAAGTCCACACCCCAAAAATAAACAAAATCGAATAATACGTATTCGAGTTGTTTACAAAATTCAAAAATTTTCGCGAACTTTGAGGCTATCTAGCGGCCAAACGAAGCGATTTCGGATATAGGTGAATTAGCCTAAATCTGCCTAATTTGAGTCCACGAATCTGTGGTCTTCCGTTGTACACGTTATTCTGGGACACCCTGTATACAGGGTGTGCCAGAATAACACTCCCACTGCCAATATCTCCGAAATTAAAAAATTTATTTTAGTTCCGGAAACTGGGATTGTTAGGTCCCTCGAATAGCTTCAAATTGTAGTTAGAACTGTTAGTTCAAATCTTTCCGTATAGATGGCGTGGCGATACTAAAAATTTTTTTCATCCCTGGAACGTAGAAATGCAGTCCATCTGAAAGATCGTTAAATTTTGAAAAATTTTTGTAATATAAAGTTTTTCTCTATATTTACTTGTTTTGGGGATATGTCGACTTCAATATGCAATTTATGATATAACAGGAAAATCTATTAGGATCTAAATCACACCAAGACAAAATATTCTTTTAAAATATTGTTATAATGACTTTATTTACACCACATACTAACCAACAAATAATAAATTATAAAGAAACAAATGATCAACAATTGAAAAAAGATTGTACAATGTACAATGGTAAATCGTATAACTAGGATAGTTAAATTGAAAGACGCAAACTGATAAAACTCTAATTGTTGGAAAACTAATATGTGTCATCTGTCTTTCACAACTTGAAGCTATTTGAGGGACCTAACCACCCCAATTTCCGAAACTAAAATAAATTTCTTCATTTCGGAGATATTGGCAGCGGGAGTGTTAAATGGCACACCCTGTATATTAAAAAAAGAAGACATTTAATTTATATTTCTGAAATATGACTTTCCATTGTATTTTATATATTTTTTTGAGATAACAAGAATTTCTGAAAATTCCAGTTTGATGACAAAGATGTGAATAAAATGTTGTTATTTTATTAAAATATATAAAAATATAAAAGTTAAATCAACTTGCACATACATTTTTTATATAATTATTTTAGAGTTGCTATAGATCTGTTGTCACTAAAGATGTCACTTTTTAATGAAAGGGGCAAGGACACCCCGCTGACTCTTTTAGAAACATATTTATCATCACCAGAATTAGATTTTAAAGATGTAATTGGCATTGTCTGTGATTTTTTACTCGCAGGGATTGATACAGTAAGTATGCAAATATGTAATGACACGGACAATATAGCTTATTGCATCAGACTGCGCGTTAAATGCTGGAAATTGGCAACCTAACCTTTTTAGGTTGTCTGCATGCAGGGCCTTGTTAGCCGGCATCCAGCAATAAAATTTAGCGTGGTAACTCTTCTACTCGGTAATAGGTGGCAGTTCTAGCGGTGACTTTGTTGCCAAATAATAACTGCCAAATAAATTTAATGCATTTAGGCTCGGTACTTTGAGTCTCGGTTAAAGCTTGATTAACTGATCAGGCGATTAGACTGTACATATACTGATTTATTTTATATTCACAGTCTAATCGCTTGATTAGTTAATCAAGCCTTAACCGAGACTCAAAGTACCGGGCCCTAATTATGTAATTGAAGAGTTATATGGAACTAATCTTTTGTTTGGAAATGACATTTGTGTTAAATGCTAAATAAAATAAATCAAGTTAGAATTAATGAACTATGGATTTATCTAATTATTTATTTTATATGGGTGAACACCTTGTAATGGGAGCAGTGGCGGCCTTAGAGGGTGGCGAGCGGTGCAATCCCTAGGGGCTTCGCTCTTGCAGGGGCCTTGCGCAACAACCCGAGTAAAAAAGTTTATGTTTAAATCTTAATTTTATCCTTATGACAATGAAATTATATTAATACTTAATAAGTAGTAATAGGTGCCTAAATAATATTTCTCATTTAGATTTATTTAATGATCAATATCAAAATCAATTAATTTTTCAGTGGATAATAATATTTTTTATAATTTGTCTATAAAACAAGTAAATAAGTTCATGTATATTTTTTTTAAACAAGTTTTTAGTAACGTCATTTTATTTTCGTATTCTTCTCAGTAAACCCTTTCATGTGATACTCATATCATGGGAGTGCATAAAAAATAACTGATCCGCTATCTTTGGATGTCTGCCATATTGGATTTAGGAAGACGTCACTTACCTAACCATGCATTGTCATCCAAGCTAAACATGTATGCAACATTTCAGGTTTGGGATAACTGTTTTAAAATTCAGTTGCAAGATTTGACCCATACTAACAAGGCAAGTTAAAAGCTTGTAAAAATATGTTTGAATCTTGTACCTTGTTTTGTCATAATTAAAAATTTGTCGTCTTTGTATTTGTGTTGGTTGAATACGAAATTTATTTAAAAAAAACAATAAATCAATAAATAATCAATGATCGTTTACAGAGATAAGATAAAGCGTTCGCTACTGCTGTTGCAATTTTTGAAAAACTTTTTTGTTTTTTGACATACGGACGTCGCACCTTTTTAAAATTATTTTTTCGATTCAACGTACCGTTTCCGAGTTATACTGCCTTTTTTTTACTGTATGACGTTACACATCTCTTGTTTCCAAAAATTTTTTTCAACATACGGACTTCGGACCTTTTGCATTTCACGCAAAACGGACAATCAGAATGATGGGTTTGGGGGAGATTTTTTAAATTATTTTTTCGATTCAATGCACAGTTTCCGAGTTATAACCACTTTTTTGTTCTATGATGTCACACACCGTTGGTTCCAAATGTTTTTTCGACATGCGGATTTCAGACCTTTTTCACTCGATCACCAATCATGGGAGAATTTTTGATATTTCGAGACATGACACCCCGCTCTGCTTTACCTACCGATTGCTCTACTCAGAACCAAAGGGAGATTTGTTTATATTTCCAACCATTTTCGAGTTATGAGCAAAAACCGTTTTTTTTTCTCATACGTTGTGACGTCATAGCTGGATGACGAAGGCTAAAAAGGCTACGCGCTCTACCCCACGCTCCCTCCCTAGGTGTCCTGAAGATACTGGGGAAATCCCAAAGACTCCTGAAGACAGCAGAGAGAGAGAAAGAGAGAGAGAGAGAAAGAGGGAGAGAGAAAGAGAGAGAGAGAAAGAGAGAGAAAGAGAGAGAAAGAGAGAGAGAGAGAGAGAGAAAGAGAAGCCCTCTTTGACGACAAATCACTCTCTCTCTATTGCACACTCTAACTGTCTCTCTCGCACACAATCAGACAAAAACTGACAGAAACGAACCGTCCTTTAAAAATACATGGGTTTTATCATTATCAGAATAACCCATTTTAATTGAAAAATGATGAATGATGATGAAAAATGAAACATAATTAAACTGTATTATTCAAAAAACAATAAGATCTTCAGGAATATCGGCAAATTTAATTTGGAGGAAGAATCCCGTCAACGAACACTAAAAAATATTATTAGAAACCTTAGGTGGCCAGAAAACAGCCCCGATCTCAGTCCCTTAGACACATTTTTGTGGGGACACTTCAACAAAATATTAAAGACCTCAAAATTGACAAGTTAAGTATTGAAAGAAAAAATGGTTGAATTGTTTGATAGTTGTGAATTTGTTTTTAATACAATAAATAGTAAATCAAAGCATATTTTTAAGTATATCATCACAATTACTTGCATTTTTTTTTTAATGAATTTTTACTTTAAACATATTTTATGCCATATTTTGATAATATTAAAAGAAATAAAGTAAATGTCGTACATTTGTATTTAAAGTTTTTTCTGTCTTTAATTATTAAATCTATAAGTGGGTGTCAAAATATAAACAAAAATCCTGTACCTACAATCCGCAATGTACTAATAATTCACCTTGTATGTCAAATAAATTTATCATCAAATATTAAAAAAATTATATTACAAGCTGTTTAAAATATTATTATGAATTTTGTTTATTTGGAAATATATTTTCTGCAGTACCTACCTATTTCAGTACCAAAATATGAAAATAACTAATTAACGAAATTATGAATAAATAACCGCTGCAGAATATCTTATCGTCGAAGTCGACTACATATGTAGGTAAAACCCGCCCTTCACAAAAAAAAACAAAGCTAGAAGCCAAAAGTGAAAACCGTATGTACCTATTCGTTCAGTCTTTAAAACATTTTTATCAATACCTACATTTAAGTAAATACAGTAACACAAAAAACAGGCATTAATAAAAAAGTGTACAAAATAAATCCGTAAGTACGTGTGACAACATTATCAAACTGTTGTTTATATGATGCTAGGATACACGTAGGAATGCGGGATGCTGCATTTGATGCATTCTAAAATTCTGCTGGTGGTGTACTCTTATTGGCAAATCGGAAATTTAAAACTGCTGTCCTATTTCAGTAGTGGTCTGGGACGAAGCTATATTGTCTGTGGTAATGACTAGATAATTTATATTAATGTGCAATTATTTTAGTCAACATATACAACAAGTTTTTTACTGCATCATCTGGCAAAAAATCCAACAGTTCAAAATAGCTTATACCAAGAGGCTTCCAAACTTTTAACATCACTAACTAGCCCTGTAACCAGTGATGTGCTGCAGCAAGCAATATATGCCAAAGCTGTGTTAAAAGAATCTTTAAGATTAAGACCAATTTCAATAGGAGTAGGAAGAGTTTTGCAGAAAGAGGCTGTATTTTCCGGATATTCAGTACCCCCTGAAGTAGGTATCAGGTACAGTCCGTACGATATTCGTTGAGATAGAATTCCAAGAAGACCCTTGTGTCACTTTCTTGGAATTAACCGTATTCGGCACCGAACATAGAAAAATATTGGCGATGTGGCGTTCACCGTAATAGCTTGCAGTGCATACTGTGTTATGCAGTTATGAAGGCATGTTTTTTCGTGTTTCGTTCTGTGCATTTTTAGTGTAATTTGTTGTTAAAATAAATCAATGGAGGTGAAAAATAAAAGAGGAATTGATTCACGGTCGAAGAGCATCTTGTTTAACGTGTATAATTATTTTAAGACAAATTTTCCAAATGAATATAAAATACAATTAAAAAACCATATTATATACAGGGTGTTCCAATTAAAACTTCAAACCTGCAAAACACATTGATTTTCTTTTCACGGGACACGTGATGGCATAAGTTTTGGTGTCTTGGAAGTCACCCCTTAGGTAGGAGCGTAAAATACCCTTAAACTTTAAATGGCACCTCATTTTAAAGCTTTTTCAGTTCTACTCACGACGACATACGACTTTTTAAATTTTGGTTTGGATTTGACAAAAAAATCATCACTTAAAGAATAAGACAAAATATCAATGGATGAAAGAATGTTATTTTATTAAATGTTCAAATTGGTTTCCCTCCACTTCCATACAATAATAAAATCTTTGCTCCACTTCCCAACATTTCGAAACATTTCGGGCGATATGTGACGACATTCTTCAATAATTCACCGACGAAGCTCCTCAAGTGAGTTTAGTCGTGTTGTCGTGTTGCATAAATTTTCGACTTTAAGTATCCCCATAGAAAAAAGTTAGATCTGGCGATCTGGGATGTCACTCCATTGAACCTCTGCGTCCTATCCAGTGATTTCGAAAGTTCTGACTGAGAAAATCAGCTATCGCAAAAATCGGGTAGATATCGTTTCCAGTAGATTCAAAGGGCCCTATGAGGTGGTCTCTCAGTATGCCCGGCCAAATATTCAATTTCCTTGGATGCTGCATATGAGTTTCATGAAAAATGCGTGAATTTTCATCACTCCAGTAGCGGCAATTATGGCGGTTGACTGGACCATCCAGTTGTAACGTACATTCATCAGAAAAATAGATTGAGTACAAAAAATTTTGATTCCTTCGAACACAATCATTCATTTCTTCACAGAACTGCAAGCGGCTATTAGGATCGTCATCATTAATTTCTTGTACAAAATTAATTTTTTATGAGTGATACTTATGAATTTTTAAAGGAAAACAGGTAAAAAAAGTTGAACTGATAGAGTTTGAAGTTTTTGTATTGACAGATAAATGAAAAATCAAAACAAATTTTTTTATCGAGAAATTGTTGAAGAATGAGTATGAGATAACATTTAATAAAATAACACTATTTCATTCATTGATATTTTGTCTTACTTTTTAAGTGATGATTTTATTGTCATATCCAAATCAAAATTTAAAAAGTCGTATGTCGTCGTGAGTAGAATTGAAAAAGCTTTAAAATGAGGTGTCACTCAACATAGGGTGCCACTTAAGGTTTATGGGTATTTTAAGTCCATGCCTAAGGGGTAGCTACCAAGACACCAAAACTTACTCCATCATGTATCCCCCTTGAAAAGAAAACCAGGTGGGAAATTTTAAATGGAACACCCTGTATATATTTACCTTACATATATTATAATATTTTGAAAATAACGCGGAAAATTTCAAGGCACGCCCCTGCCAAGGTAAATTGTTACAGTAGTTACGATAACAAAACTTTATTGGCTTATTTTTTTCTTGGAATTCTATCAACAAATATTGTACGGATTGTATCAAAATATGTAATTGTAACTAATTGTCGCAGCATTTTTGAAAAGTGTTTAGGGTCTTTGAGATCCCAAAAAGGGTTGCAAATTATTCTCAAAATTAAATTTTCTTGGTAGGTAGTTTAAATTTTAATTTGATATTAATATTTTATTTTTCACTTAACAACTTAACAACTTTATAATGTAATTTTATGAAAAATACAAATTTTTGAGGAAAATTTAAAAAAGCGGCAGTTGACGACGAAAAAACATTTTGTGTAATAAAGAGTACAGTATGTCCATGGTTAGAGTGGAAAAGAGGGAAAATATTTTTATTTTCCATTTTACAAGAAATAGGCATTCTTCATTAAAATTTTTTGCTTGTCTTTAAAATGCGGTTGGCATGGAGAACTCTGTACAGGGTGATCAGAAAATCGATAAATATAAAAATCGTTAAAAAATTAACTGCCCTTGTTTTTAGCAATACAGAAATATGTTATTAAGGAAAGTTGCTTAGAAATATAGTAGACAGTGTTTCACTTTAATGGCGCGTCATATTAATAGCAAATTAATCTGTGGTGTAACATATATTTTTCATAAAAAGTGTGCGAATGCAGGTTGTATGCTACTGACATTTTGTATTAGCTTGAAATGTTTTGTGTCAGTAAACATGCACCGTGTGTAGCATTTACCATGCAAAATTTGAAAATAATTGTTTTTTTACTGATATTAATGAAAAAAAATCTTCAACACCCTGTATCTCGGAAACGTTTTCGATTTCGTAATAAGTTTATATGTATATGAGAGTAGTACTATATATTATTAAAAAAAATTAATTTAAAATAAAAAAAATCATGCACAACATATTTGACTGAATGTGATTTTTTTTTAAATTCGTAAAAATTAAAATTTTGTTTCTATGTAATTTAACAATATCCCGTTTAATCTAAAAGTAAAGGCAATTAATAGTTATCTGCTTTAATTATTATCAAATTAGGTTTTATGTTTTTTATTGGTAGTTGTAAGATATTAGGAAATTTTAGTATAATTTTTTTCTGATTTTGTTACACAATAATTTAATCATCTTGTTTCAGACAGTTGTTGTTAGTCAGAATCAAGTATCCTGCCGACTCGAGGAGTACTTCGCATATCCAGAGGAGTTTAAGCCAGAGAGATGGATAAAAAATAATCCACTATATAAGCAGTCACATCCATTTTTATTACTGCCATTTGGTCATGGACCTAGAACATGTATTGCAAGAAGATTGGCTGAACAAAATATACTTGTGTTACTTTTAAAAGTAAAATATATTATATTTATCAAAAGTCTGTTGATAAAAACAGTTTTTTTTTCTAGATTGTAAGAAACTTCCGAATAGGTTGGAATGGAGGTAAATTAGATTCAAAGTCTTTGTTAATAAATGTACCAGATGGGCCAATATCTTTGACTTTTTTCAAGAGGTTAAAGTGAATTTGATTATAAAAACATACTCTAATAAAAATTATAGATTTAAATACATATTTTAATAATAATTTTATAATGTCTTGTGTATGGATTTCAAGGATACATAGAGTGTGTACCCGGATGGGGTACCTCACTCTTGTAAACTTTTTATTGTTGATTTTTTGAGAAAAAGTTATACTTAATAAAAAGTTTTGTTTAACTTGGGCAATAATCAAATATGTAATAGAACATACAAGGCTTCCAAAAAATTTCAAAATGTGAAATTTTCCCTAAGCAAAGTGCTTTTAATTTCTGTTTTTGTTAAAAACTGTATTTAACAAAGTTGTCCGAGAACTCAAGAAATGCTTAAATACTTGATTTAGACAAAAATGAATAATAATCACATTTTGCAAATAAGAAGACGCGGTTTTTAAGCAGATAGAAATTGTAATATAAGTAAACTTTTATTTTAAATTTAATATAATATAAAAACAACTTGGTAGAACAATTTCCGGGTTGGTTGCCACGTCGTCGGTTTAGGTTTCTTGACGTTTCGAGAGACATATCGGTCTCTTCCTCGGAAGTAACTAAAAGTTTTCGTGTTTTGAAAAGAGCGATATGCTCTTGAAACATCAAGAAACCTAAACCGACGACGTGGCAACCGGCCCGGAAATTGTTCTACAATTAACAACTGCCACAGTAGTCTGTAAACCAAATAAAAGTAGCTTTTCTAATTAAAAAATAGAAATAACAAATTAGAACTGGAATTAACAACAACAAGGAAGCAAGTCCTATTCAACTTGTAAACCTCCGAGTAATACACATTTTTCTAATCTTTTTCTAAATTCCTTGTACAGAGTGATTCACTATATTTTGACCCCCCCCTTTAATTTTTTTTTTTTAAAAGTTATAAAAAAATGTGAAATATGACGCACGATATTTTATGAATTTTTCGAAAATGATAGTAGAAAAACAAATGAAGTCCAAATAAAATGGCCGTGGATATTAACTTTGTTAAGTTAAATGGATCACCCTGTATATTTTTACATATTTTGATAGAACGTTCCCTGTCGAGCATAGTCATATAGAGTTCGCTGGGTCCATCTCTAACAATAATCGAGATAATATTAAAAAACGAAAAGAAGGTTTTTTATTAAGAAAATAAGACATCTTGTAACTGTTAGACCTCTTTCAGGCATTTCTGCCTTTTCCAATTACCATTATCATTGTATTCTTTTTTTTATCTTTTTAATATTCTTTACATAATCAGTGATATCGGATTTTATAATTAGCTTGCGAACTGCTCTACGAGTTACAGTTACATTTGGATACTCTTCATTAAAAATTTGTATTGCATGTCAATATGAAACAATACCAATTCTATAACATTCCACAAGATAAATTAGTTGCTCTAGGGTTAGCATTATTAATAAAAATTATTCAGTGGTCAGTTAATATAATTAAATATGTTGACTTTGACATCGATAAGGAAATATCCATATTTGCAAATTCTGATTATTGTTCTTTTCTAATTAAACCCCATATTTAAGCATTACTCGAACAATTTAAATACAGTTTTTAACGAAAACAAAAATTAAAGGCACTGCTTAGAGAAAATTTCACATTTTGAAGGTAAGCAAAACTTTTGATCAAGAATAACTTTTACTCGAAAAATCAACAATAAAAATGTTTACAAGAGTGCGGTAGCCTATCTGGGGACACGCTGTATATGTAATCTGATATCTAGGTTAAAAAACAATGTCAGTCTATTTTTCACAAACATCTCTTTTTTACAAACATCTCTTACAAACATTTATTTTTTTAAGGGTAATTTAAGAGTTTAACAACTTTTGTGTTGTGTATACCATTTGATAAAAATAAAATATTGGGTATATTGTAACCGTGTTTTAAATTACCCATTATAAAGTGGCGTAGGTATACTAGGTCCCAATTCAATGAGGGGATCTTAAAGGGATGAGAGTTAACCCAAAATCAATCCATTTCAGAGACAAATGGAGCTATGTGTATTCACATATGTTTCCAGGAAAGTGAAAACGATATCGCGATATTTAAAGAATGTTAGCTCAATTTTTGATAACTAAAACCTAGTTAAGTGATTGAGGTTGACATCCAATAAGTTAGACCTTCTGATAATGAAGTGAGTTGGGGTTATTGGAATTTAGTTTGATACTGAAAGGGCACAATGGCTGAGAGTTTAATATGGCTTCTGTTTGAAACAAAATGGTAGAAAATTTTTCAAAGGTAAGATGTGCATTTGCGAGAATGCTTTGTAGATTTGCTATAAGTTTGAAATGAAGGGCTTTTGGATATTTGAAACAATACGGCCACTTGGGATGCTTTCAGAATCATTAAGTAACTTGTCTTTTTACCCTAATGCTTTAATATTTTCATTGGGACGTAATTCTAAAATTTTACAAGATAAATTTGTTTTCTTGATGTTTTGTACAATTTCCAAATGGTTAGAGCACCATTTTTGCAATTTGAAAATCGTTTTACAAATATCTAATTAATATCACGTTTTTTTTTTTTTTGAACATAACATTTGATATTCTTAAAACATTCAAGTTCATATCTATTTTTGTAGGCCAAGCAGATTAGATAGTTTACTCGTGATAAGAACTAATTTCAAACCAAAGTTGAGCAATACCCAAGGAAAATACAATGCCCTTTTGAATTATCAAAAAATTCGCACTATGGACAATAATACTTGATTCTCAGGTGTTTCTCTCTTTATCTTGATGAAGAAGTGTATTATGCCACGTTTGACACTTTGAACATGGACCCATGTTGCATTTTTTATTAAATGTTATTTCGTAAATAGTTGCATTTTTTATTACATGGTCATTTCGTTATTTAAACATAATTTTGCGATTTTCACGACTTTAAAAATTTTGTTGACTGAACTGAACTGATTGGTATTGGAGTTCGAATCGAATGTTCAGCTTTGCAATAGCAACAGGAAGTAGCTTTTTAGATTAATAATTAATTAATATGGGAGATTTTGTGTCGGTAGAATATTCTTTAAGTTACAGTAAATATAAGCAAAGGGTCCTAATTTTTTGTATTTAGATTTACTTGTTTAATTGATTGATATTTAACAAATCACGGTTCATTTTCAGATGGCGGTGATTTTTATTTGTTCAGTAAGTGGATTTATAATCTGTTGGGCAATAAATGACGATGACGACGACAATGATGACAACGATGTTGACGCTGATGTTGACTGTAACGATGACCTGACGATAACAATAAAGGATAACAATTATCATTACTATCATCATCATTTTCATTGGCATCATCATCATTATTGTTATCATCATCTTCGTCATCATTTATTATACATTATAAATATACTATTATTAACACAAATAAATGTAAGGAAATATGATATCAATAAGTCAATTATCTGAATATACAGCTTGATCAAATCCATCTTGTTGACTAGTTTCAGATGTGCAGTGACAACAGCTCGTATATTTAAATATATAACATAAAACCATTGAATAACTATACTGGGTTAACGTAAAGGTTGGGAATAAATTAAACGGTGGATTTTTTGGTTTAAAAAATAAATTTTTCTCATATGAAGTTATACTTTACTGGTTTTATTTTCCAAGCTACAGGACGCTAAAAAGTTTCAAAAAAATTTAGTTTTTCTCCAATAACTTTCGAACTTTATAAGATAATGGAACGAAATTTTAGCAATAGCTTAATTTAATAATCCCCTAGTAGCAGGAAAAAGATTGACTTTGTAAGTTACTCAGTGGCGTGCATACGAATTGTACCGTAATGTTTTTCGAACAAAATTGTGGTATGCCACTGGTAAAAACATTTTTTTAATATTTTTTTATGATCAATTGTTTATTTTAAACAAAATTACCCTCTTGCGTTTTATTCCTAGCTCTTGTCATTTTTCCGCAAATAAAATTTTTGTAAATACCATTTTTCCCCCCTGCTAACATTGGAAAATAAAAATAACAAAAACATTATAAAGTATGCTGTGACTCAGCCACCGAACATGGTCAAATAGGCATTGAAAAAAGACTTGCATTGAAAATGATATTAAAAAACTAAATTTTTTGAAATTCTTTAGTGCCCTGTAGCTTTGAAAAGATAACCCGTAGAGCATAACTTTATATGACAAATATTTATTTTTTTAAATAAAAAATCCAACGGTTAATTTATTCCCAACCTTTACGTGAAACCCTGTATTTACTAGGCCTAAGAAACATTTTTACATAGAGGGTACCTGCCCTACTATTAAGATCTGTCTTTGTTGCTCCTACTGCGGAGTCTTCTTTTGATCTGTACCTGGGTGATTTTCTATAATGTCCATCCATCTTAACTTGTTTATTTTGGGTAGTAAAATTTTGTAAAAAATGTGAGCTTGTAGCATATTTTCTTTACTTTTTCACAGGTATTTGAAAATCGATCAAACATATTAATATATAGGGTAGATAAAAAAATACACTTTTTTAAACGGGACACACTGTCACTATACTTAAATCAATTTATTGATTCTTCGTATATTCTGGCATTTTTTATAAAAACAAGTCATATAGTCCAAGACAATAGTCTGAAATATTAACAAATAAAATTTGAAATTTAAAATTTTGAGTTCTTATCTAGTAGCAATGGATAAATCAATAAAAGTGACAGTGATAGTAACTTAATCAAGTAATTATTCCATAGATGTAATATAGTTATATCATTATAATCAATAATGAATAAGTTCGCTTGAATGGGTCAATGTGGCAATGTCGCACTGACTAAATTGAGAAAAAAGAGCGCAAAAGTTAATGCTTTGCGTTTATAAAATATTTTTGCATTTATGTTTTATTTCCCTAAATTTTGTACTTTTTTTTTAATTAAAAATATTTATGGTCAACGTAGGTATAAGACAAAACCATAGATCTAATATACTCGTAGTTGGACAAAACAATTCTTACTTAAATATGAACCACGCTCAAACAAATTGATTTTTAATCTTGACTTGACTTGACAACGTTGCATATGTTAAAATACGTCCTCTGTAAAAAAATATTCTCACTCACGGTACGAAATCTGTTATAGCGGAGGATCAAGTTTCGGTATATATAGGGTGTTCCACTTAAGAGGGATTTTTCTGTAACTCTGTAACTGTTAAATTTATGTAAAAAATGGTTTTAATAAAAGTTGTCTGGAATCATGTGGACCATATTAAG